TGGTGGATATGTAAATTGAGCTGTGGGAAAATGCAATAGAGTGAGACTATTTAAATGACACTGTGAGAACTTCCTCACTGATATGCCTGAATGCTAAATTGGTGGAACTATTGTACCTGTAGAGGTGAAAGGGTAATTTAGCTTTCATGGTCAGAAAAACATGATCTATGACTTGTGATGGTATTTTTACAATGAGCACACCTCACACTGGTGAGAAACTGAAATGTTGCCAGTTTTAAATGACAAGCTAGAACTAACTGAAAGCTCACCACTCCTTCATGTCCTTTATATTCTGTAAATGCGTGATACAGAGCACTCCGCGCCCAACCCAGGAAAAAAATGCCTAAAAGTGAGCAAAACAAAACGTCAAGGGAGCAGCACTGCTCATCTACTTGAAGTCATGCAACTGCTGCATTAGTCCCTACAGCACTGAAGGATTATTTTCTGAGGATTCTTTTCTCTTTAAGGTAAACAGCCAGCTAAATTGTAACTTAGTTACTATCATCCATGCAGTCACCTTTTACTGCATGTTTCTGTCCAAGCATCTGAAAAGCTACAGTACTGTTCTGCATGCAAATAACGTCAATCTAATAAATTAGTAGCATTCACTGAAAAAAAAACCTCATAAATTTTAAGATAAAAAACACCTAAAATGTGACTTTTTTTCCTTTTCATCTTCCAAGGGGGAAAAAAGAACTAAATTAAAACCAAACCCTCTGTTCCAGTCAGGTCATCATGACACAAAGCAGTACAAACCAATAAATCCAGCGATGCTGACAGTCTCGCCTGGCAGCGTGCACACAGGCATTTGAGCCATGGAAAGTTGGGAGGGCTTTGGACATCGGCTCTGCGGCTGCAAGCTGACTTATCGGAAGGAAGGAAAGGTCAGCGTGCCACAAACGGTGCGCCAGGCAAGAAACATGTACTTGGAGTTGCACTGCTGCATGGGCAGAGCGCAGCCCCATCCTCTCCTGCTCCGGGGATAAACGAACCTTAAGTTTGTGCAGGTATGAGAGTATGGGAAGGAGGGATCCCTACGGATATTACTTGTTCAGGCTGCCAATGCGTCACTGATAACTGAGACAAATATTTGGGTTTTGCTAGGAACACAGGAAGGCAGCTGACCTTCCCAACAAAGATAACAGAGAGAGACACGTTACTGCACTTTAAAAGAAAAAAAAAAAAGAACGAAGGTACTAATAAGGTATTGACTGGTCAGAAAACACAAACTGAACTCTCAGCTTCTCTACTGTAGATATAACACAAGAAAACATAACTGCAGTGCAGCTGAAGGAACAGCTGGAGTTCAAAAATACCTAACCTTCAGTTTATTATGCACACATACAACCAGACCCTTCCAAAGCGCCGTGAAATCGATTGAAAGTTTCTCAGATTACATTTCCCTCCGTCATGGCCGAGGTGTTAACGAACCCACGTTCCCCTTTCCCTAAAGGCTGGTCAAAACTGTTGATCCAGCTAAGGTCTTTGAAAACATGAGCCAAGCGTGTGACCTTTTGTATTTCTTCGAGTACAGCAGGTACAACCACGAAGCAACTCGGTGTGGCGGAGAGGACAGCTCGCCGGGGCCGGAGGGCTCCTCCTCTCCACACTGCGTTGTCGCAGCTCTCCAAACACGGCTGTGCTGCCGCTGCCAGGCACTTCAACCTTCAAAGTAAGTCTTTAAAAATAACAAATCTGATGTCTCTACAAAGCTGAATAACACCAGTAAAGCTCAAAGGAAACAGCTGACTCGACGGTTGTGGTTGCGTCACTGAAGCAGGAGCAGAAGGCAACGCTAAAGGCCTCTGGTGAAAACCACCTAAAGTGCACAGAAAGGGAGAGGCTTGGCCTCAGCCACAGCCTCCATTATTCAGTGTAAGGTGAAGAACTTTTGGTGAGAGCTCAGGCAGATAGCTCAGTTATGTCTGCAGTCTGCACTGGATGGCAAACTTTCTCATTAGTCCAACAGGACTCACGCCGGTAAAATGTGATCAGGCACGTCGTAAGTGTCAGAAACCAAAAAAGTCCATCTGCCGAAACCTCTTATTTCCAGCGTGCAAAATGCAACGTAAGAAGATCCAGTGTTGTTATGCCTTATTCAGTATACTGAGAAGCACTACAAGTTGGTTTATTTAGACCCATTTGCAAAGCTCAGGTTAAAAAATACCTTAATCTTTAAACAAATATTAATGCAGGGAAATAGGGACAACCAAACAGCCCGGTACTCTCTAAAAAAACTCAAAGAAAAAACTAGTTTGCTGATGGCTCTCTGGACATTGCCGCAGTGTTGAAGAGTCACAGTACGTGAGACTTCTGTGGGGAAGGAAGCAGTCTGGGGGTCTGGTCACTGTTCATGGTGTCTGTGTAATCCAGAGCAAAAGATGGTATGAAAACGGACACTAAAGGCAATTTTATAAACTGGGCTCGGAGCTGGAAGTTCTCAAATTAAACCACTTTTTTTTTTCTAACTTCAGACAACCAGGTAATAAATACAGACCTTGCAAATTCACATAGCAGCCACATTTAGCCAAACTTGTTCTGTCTCATGCAGTGCATTTATCATGACCATGAGGTTCTGGGAATTTTTTCTGTGAGTTAGAGATCTTTAAGAAATACATTTTGAAAATGTTTTTAACCTCTGTTATTTATCCCCAAAAGACATCTACTCTTCCTCTTTGATTATGCCTTTGAGACAAATACAGAGCATGTCGGACTAATCTGCCATATTCACGGGACACGGTGACACGGCAGTCACTTGGAACAAATTTTAGGGATTGAGTAAAAGGCAGATGAAGGCTGATCTGGGGCAAGCATACTGCCTGCTCTGTTTTCCAATTTCAGAATTAGAGTGTCAAGGAATATTTTTTAGTGTGGGAAGTTTCTGTTAACAGTTTAATCTAAACAGTAACATAGACGGTCTGTTTATTCAACGGTAAATCATGTGGAGATGCTTAAATTCCCAAAGAATGCATGAAAATGTTGTTACACAAAAGTGGAACGGTTGAAATAAACTTTTTTTACTAAGCTTCACAATTACTGAATGCAAATACAAAGAAAAATAAAGAAAACAAAACTTCAATATGTAGAAATAAAGAATTTTGTGTTATTTATTAAAACATAATTGCTTTAAGGATCACAGTTAAAAGTCAGATTGTATTGAATATGAAAGTAATTGCTTGTCTCTGGGCAGTTACAAATGACAAACCTAATCAACTAACGCAAAAGTCTGCTTATACCATTTTATCCAGGGCTGCACCTTTGCACCAACTCTAGTGGGTTTTGTACTACTATGTGGGAATCTCAAAAATGGTTTTATCCCCAGGCGTAATGTAGCTGCTTCTTGATTGGCTTTAGGAAATTGTAATACTAATGATACCTTTAGGTCTAGCTTAAGTTATTAGTTGTCCGCATTTTTTTTTTCAATAATCAGGACGTAATTTTTATGAACAAGTAACATAATTTATACTTTTAATGAGGGGCACCCTGATTGAATCAAGGATACTGAACTTCTGTCCAGTGAGCCTTTGTTTGCACGACAAGGAATCAGGCCAAGTTACACACCACCGACAGTGTGCTGTCGTCACACGATGGATGCATCCAACACATAATGGGGAAGAGCAAAAGCATATAGCCAGCAAGTACCCAAGTTCCATTTCCTACATTGTTAGGGAATTTGGTTATCATTCTTAGTGACGGGCAAAATTTGTTGTATTTTAATAGACTTATAAATTCTTTTGGGGCTTTATCTGTTTCTCTGTTATTTGAATATATCAACAATTTACTGCCTTAAATGCATGAGTTGCTTCATAACCGTATCAAAGGAACAAACACAACCGCATTATAATTTTTCACTGAAATATTTCATTTCCATGGTAAAACATTACATTCTTGTTGAATGTATAAAGCTAATTTAGCCCAATTCCTTTTACAGTTACCCCAATTATAATGGAATGCCTTTAAAATGTAAAATATGTAACTCCACTAAACAGTACTGAAATGAGTCTGATGTCTATCAAAACGTCTGCAGTCATATTTTCCATTTCTTTTTGCATTTAGTCTTGCTATAATTTGATGTTAATGGCTGTTTGAGTATTCAGCATTGGAATTCAAAACATAAGATTATTAAGAGTTGTAGTCAGTGAAAACATCTCTATTTAAAGCTTCTGAAATATAGAACTTTAAAGCTGATGAATTTAAGATTACAGCCAAGTGATTTAGCTTTACTGAGTGCTGAACCTTTGAGGAAAATAACACAAACCAAAGTTGAGTGGGTTTGCATACACATTACTTCTGGTGAAATTACACTGAAATTTTCCTAAACTTTCCAATTTTTGAAGGAGAGCTGCGCTGAAGGGTGCAGTACTGTTCAGTACACTGATCACAGAGGTTCAATGCAGTATGAGAATATGAACGCATATTTTGTGGCTAGCACTTTATGTATGTATTCGTGAAGGTATTGCCGTGACGCCTACTTAATCCTGGATGGCTGACTTTGAAAGGATATTTCTGTGAGGCAGATTAGTTCATAAAAAGTGAAATATCCATGAGAAAATGTGGGCAGTATTTATTTTTATTCCTCCAAAATCTTGTACTACGCACATGCCCACATGTACCCATACACACAATGTACTAAAGTAAAAAGTTTACACCATGTCGTATTAGAAATTCGAGAGCGTGTAATATGTAAGAAAAATGTATAAGATAACTGTTCTTAGAAATCGGAAAACTCTACTCATTGTCATTCTTATGCATATCTAAAAAGCAACCTAGCCAAGTTTACAAAACATTTCTTATGACTGTTGTGATTTTTTGCAGTTAAGGAATCAGGAACTCACAATATGTACATCAAGCTTAAATGGCTTGTGTATGTTACAAGTATAAAGCAGTAGGCAGGGTAAGTATGACAAATATACTGAAGTCCTGACAATGCAAAATCTTGACCAAAATAAACAAACAAAAAATGACCCAGAAATCATCTCTATGATAAGAGAAAAGACATTTCACTTTTTGTGAAAGAGAAGAGGTTTCACCATCCCTGCCAGAATCTTGGGTAGCTGGGCAGCAATCACCTCTGACATCATCTCGGGGAATTCAACACTCAGTGCACGGGACTGGAGAAATGTGTTCAGACAGAAGAGATGGAGCTGTTTCACTAGCTGGATTTAATAAAATACAAACATGATAAATCAGGCTAACAGTAATGCAGCTAGACAAACATGCTGTCAATCACTTATCTCACACATCCATCACCTGACATCACTATATAACTTCCTCTATCCTTGCTTGAATCAGTAATGTGGGTACTTGTCATTACCTATTTGAATATCCTCCCATGGCAAGAAGTCATAAATATAGCTAAATGGTATGCCATATAAAAACAGTGCCTTGCTAATATTATAAAGTGTTATTATCCTCACTCATGGCACACACCACGAACAATGGCAACTACTAAGCAAGTATTCAATCTTTCATTTTATCCTCATGTTCAACACACGCCTCCATGCCTTGTTTACTATATGCTATTCAAACTCTGATCCAAGGGATGGCATTTACTATTTCCTTGTGAGATTTTCCACGGTTCTGATTCTGATCATACCTGGTTATCTGTATGGCAAACATTAAACTCCATACATCCTAGTCCCTTGAAAGCAACTGCTCAATATGTTTCAACTCTTCTGCCTTCTCTGAGAAGTTCCAATTTTATAGAAGTTTTTCTTTAAGACCTGTGACTTTTATGTTATCAATTATCACACTATTTCTGCTACTCTAGGTTTTAACAATACACAGTCTCTCCAGTGCGATTTTCTTTTCCTTGTATGTCCCATCAGTTTATCAGCCTGAGCTGAAATAGGGACGTGAATGAACATACTCTACAGCCAAACACTACCCTAACCATCACTTTGCTGGGTATTTTGCAGCAAGCCTCACTCACTCATCTCCACTAAGGCTATTTTACTTTAAGTATTTGAAATTAAAAGGTTGACTTTACAGCCCACTACTTAAAAGAGTTTTCCTCGGGATACTGTGACACTCAGATTGCAAATTATTACTACAGATAAGGCAGGAAGACATTTTATCCCAAGCAAGACATCCAAACAGGTTTCTTGAGCACAGGGCTACTGTGAGTAGTATACTGGTCAGTATACTTGTTTTTGCAAGTAAAAGGTGACTGACTGAACTCCAGGGAAGGGTTTAGCACTGACAGCCCCAAGTAATGACTGCAGAGAGACTACCAGTAAATAGAATCATAGAATCAGAATTGTCTGGGTTGGAAGGGATCTTTAAGATCATTGAGTCCAAACCACCAACTTAACACTGCCAAAACCACCACTAAACCATGTCTCTCTACCCATCTTTTAAATACCACCAGGAATGACAATTCTACCACTGCCCTGGGCAGCTTGTTCCAAGGTTTGATATCCCTTTTCCTAATATTCAATCTAAACCTCCCTTGGCATAACTTGAGGCCATTTCCTCTTGTCCTACCGCTTGTTACTTGGGAGAAGAGACTGACCCCCACCTCTCTACAACCTCCTTCCAGGTAGTTGTAGAGAGTGATAAGGTCTCCCCTCAGCCTCCTTTCCTCCAGGCTGAACAGCCCCAGTTCCCTCAGCCGCTCCTCATAAGATTTGTGCTCCAGACCCCTCACCAGCTTGGTTGCCCTTCTCTGGACACGCTCCAACACCTCAATGTCTTTCTTGCAGTGAGGGGCCCAAAACTGAACACAGTATTCGAGGTGGGGCCTCACCAGTGCTGAGTACAAGGGGATCATCACCTTGCCAGTCCTGCTGGCCACACTATTCCTGATAGAAGCCGGGATGCTATACTTAAAGTTAAGCTCCACATCATCCCTTCAGAATTTTCTATTGTCTGCTTTCACCTGTAAAGAAGCTTTTCATACTTGTCTCATTCTCCTTCTGCTGGTATCTGAGATGATGTAATAGCTAAATGGTGTATGTGAGTTCTGTGGATAGCAGAAGCTCATTAAGAGGTTTGTGCACCAGACCACTGGTGAGCCACGTAAGTATCAATATTGTTACTTCTCTTAACTCCCATAAATGGGATCCTCAAAGGGTGGGGTTTTTTTCCCCATCTGAAGGGGGAATTAGTGATGATGAAAAGTTTCAGATGAATAAACAAATTTATTCATGAACAATTAAAATAAAATGCAGATTTGCTGAGTGCAGATGAACAGTAGCATGCAAAGACCCCATCCCTCCCTGAACTCCTTGTGAGCTCTTCACAACCAGCACTGAACTCAAAAGCACTTTTCCTGAACTATCTTGGTGCCACTTCCCCAGTGCTTGCTGAAACCGTCAGGTACGGCCCTGTACCTCTGCTTTTTGTCTCTCTTGCAGAGATAGACAAGCCATTACAAAATGATATTCACATGCGCAAAGGTTTATACGAAATGTCATTCCTCTGTTTTAATGGATGTTAAGCCAATAGGATATATGCTGGATTCTCAGAGATGTGGAAAGGATTCAGCTGCATCTTTTAAAACACTCATGAATCTCTATGATATCAGCACTAGAGTTCTCAAAGATTACTCAATTCCCCAATATAGAGAGATACTGAAAAAAATGGCAGAGAATATACACATAAAATAGTTGAATTAAGGTTGCAAAACCAACCTGGGTTGTCTTTCTCTAATTCTTAGTAGCCTGACTTGGCAACTTGAATTGCCTATTCTTTGCATTATTTAAATATTTTCATTAACATGCACACACACATACATGCCATCCCCTACGAAAAACCACAACTGTACCAGTTCCGTTACAGAAATAATTAAACAAAATGGTAGCATTCGAATGCATGTTTCTCAAATACTTAAATTTTGTACATCATATAACATATATACAATATATGTTGATGCTGAATATATAGCTAGCTATTCACACAAATATGCACACTCAATGAAAAATGTAGGGTTTTTTTTTTTGTTGTTTAGAAATGCTGACTAGCCACTTTTAAGAAATACTAGTTCCTTCTTACGTAGAAAGCAAAACACATTAACAAGTAAACTTACATCATGCATGGAATCCATCAGTTTTGTAAGTTGATAGAAACGTTGCGAGTTGGCCACAACCCCTTTCTGGTGCAAACCAATTGCTTTCACCAGTTCTCTAATGTAACTCGTTCTCATCTCATCAAATTGACTTTGACTTCTTAGACCTTCCAAAGGAACTAAAAAGAAAGCAACACTTGTGTTGTAATTTATTCTGAAGGCAACGTGAGAAATTTAAAGTACAGGAACAACTTACAGTATTTCACGCTGTGCAGTGCAATTCATGATTGTACATCACGTATCTCTTCCCGTTCAACAGTTACACCAGAAATAGTGATAAAATTAGTTAAAAGGATATACCAGCAACAATCAATCAATTGCGCTAATTGCTGATGTCTAGAAATAGTCTTAATCTCAGCTACACCTGTCTTCTGAAAAGGAGATGGCCAAAAGAGCACTCCTGTCCTTGAGGAAAGTTGTTATAGACTGGCTCATGCTCACACTGCTGAGGATCATAGCAGATTTATGTTAGAGAGATCTAGCTGGAATGCTTCAAAATGAAGTCAAGGAATGAACTAACAACTCTTAAGTAGCATCCACAGCATAGTATCCAGGGCTCAGGCCTCCTGCTTGGACCTCTTTCACTTAACGGTATAGACGCACTATCAGAGTCTTAAATGTGAACAGCTTTTAGAGAAATTAGCAAGGAGGAGCAAATGGTTGAACTCACTCTTCTCTGAATGGGCAGCCATGAGGACCAAAACAAGGCCATGGAGAACACTGAGAAATGAACGTCTTAGTGACTGCTAGTGATAAGACCATATTTGATCACTAATGATCAGTGTTGGTAGCATTCTAAGGAAACGGGCATAAGCTCTAGACTCTGCTTTCCTTGATATGGCACAGAGTAATACACAGGTCTTACAATTTATGTTCTCAAAGGCAACTAAGAAATGAAAAACTTGAAGAAATGAAACTTGAAAAAATATTCCCAGTTGGCAATCAAATCTAAATGCTTCCCTCACTATAATAATCATGCATTAAAGCATGGTCTTGTTTCAAACATACTGTTTTTGAAAGAGCTGTTAAATGTCTTCCCCTTTCCTTTCTCTCTTGCCAATGACATTCCACACTGCAATGTCACATTTAACATTTTGTGTTCTGAGAGCAAGCATGAGGGGAAGGATTCACCCCACCAGACTTTAGACATTTTACAGTATAGACACCTCCATCTGGGCTAGCTACCACAGCTAGCTGTAGTTTCAGTGGGAAAAATCAGGCAAGTCTTGGGCACAAGGCATGCTACTGTTCTAGAAGTAGCATTAGAAAGAGATGAATTATGCTGTAGAGATGCTCATTTTTCTCCCCAGACTCCAAAAGAATGTCATGGGGACTAGCTCACACAGTTAAATCATATCTAGGTATCTAGTACATCTTCGTTCTGGTATCGGACCACAACAGATTTCATTTGCATCTCTTTAAAAAAAATATTGAAACTTGGTTCATAATGTCATTGACTTATTTAACACTGTAACACCTAACTTTCAGTTGATTTGTCACTTTCTGGAATGAAAACATAAATATATGTGTGGGCAGACTCTCTGTACAATGCACTGTATTATTAGATACCTAGGAATGGAATTCTTAAAACAGAAGTCACCTAAAAAGCAGACAGCTACCCAGTGGTGGGAGATAAACCCATTCCCTGAAAGAGGATTAGGTAGCAAACTCCGCACTGAGAGAAGCACTGGATCCATCTGCAAAACGTAAACCCTGTTCTGAAGTCAGTTGCCTAAGTCATGTCTGGTTCCCCAGAAGGGAAGGAGACACTTCAAGCAAACGGATTAAAATGAAGTGTCCCTCACCTCCAGCCCAGAGAGAGATAGCAAAGCAGAAGCTCAAATCTCTACTTGAGTTAAGCAGAAGTCTCCTATTTTGGAAGAGACTGCCCAAGAGAGGAAATGATCCACTTTGCCAAGGATGTCTCTTGCTCTGTATCTCTTCAGACAAGTGAACGTCTGGGGGAAGGAGGGAGACACACATACAGAAGATAGCAAGTTTACTTTAAAAACAAGTGTCTAAGCACTGAGATGGTTATGGAAGTCAGGATCTGACCCCTAAATAAAACAGAATTTAAAAAAAAAATAGAAAATAGAAATTGTGACTGCTTCCACAGAAAGTATGTTTATAACACCATATCTAATATTAGTCCAGCCTTTAGGGATGCCATGTTAGATTTCTGTTGGCAGCTGATGGAGATGAAATGCTGAACGAGGTGGACCTTTCGTTTGACTCCATATGGCCTCTCAAGTCCAGACAGGCAAAGGAGGTATCTGAAAGTCTGTCTGTCACATCTGCATCGAGGGTCTGAACAGAAGGGAAGAGTTCTGTTTTGTGGCAAATGCAACGTGCTTAGCACTAATAGAGGCAGGAACACTCCCAGCGGGGAAAAGCTATGTCATGGGAAAAGAATAGCTTAATTTTCAAACCCTGGATGGTTCTGGGTATATGTCTAACAGCAGAATTACAGATGCTGACGAAATCTTTTTCATATAAAGTGACATTCTGATGGAACTTAGGGCTAGGTGGACACTTTCGTTGATTTGCATCTCTAAAACAGCAGTTAAGTCCTCACATTTCCCTTGTGCATTAAGTTTAAAGATCTCTTCCAGCAATGCAAGGCCTGTTTCCCAGAATTCTGCAAAAGCACAGTCACATTCTCATCTAATCACAAAAAGTCCCACTAAACTATTTATTTGAATGAAAAATTACAATGTCTTACATGCACAAATGCAATTTAAACACAGGTAGCTCAAATGCTCCTTCTCCCTGAACATATGTAAGGAATGCGGATGCTTTTATTCAGTGGCAAGAACACAGCCAAAATCTTATGCAATAAGATTTTGCAATGCCTCTAAATCAAAAGCCTGGAAAGTGTTAGAGCTAGAACTGAACTTGCTATATGCTTATTTCTCTCTTTTTTGGCAAAGCTCTACTTTCTTAAATCATAGTCTTTCTGAACTATTCATAGTGTTATTTCCTAGATGTATGTGGTCTCTGCAAGAACTTAAGGGGCAGCACTACAACAGAGCATATTACATATAGTAAATAAGGATCTGTAAAATGGAAACAATTGCAGAAAATAAAAATGTTGGTCCACTTTTTGCAAAGACTAATTCTGCTTTCAAGACAGCTTTAAAACTGTACAAGTACAATATAAAGAAAACGTCTAAGCCACAGCAAACTCAATGGAAAAACCAGAAAAATCAAAACTAATGTTAAAACTTATGCTGTGGCTTCCATTCAGAAATGTATCGAGACTGACATCGAGTTATGTTTAATGTAAATTACTGTTTCTTCAAAATTATATAAAAAGTAAAAAACAGTTCATCTAAATAATAAATCAAACAGAAGACAGAATGAGACTAAAAGTTCAGACTTGATTTACTGTTAGTATATGAAAACTTGAAATGACCATACTTTCACATTTGAAGAGGATTAAGATGAATACCATGGCTAAAATAAAAGTAGTCTTTAAAAACACTTTATAGCAACAATGAGATTATATGTTTTTTTGAAAATAGTTTTGTGGAATTATGTTTATACAGTACCAAACGTTTACTAAATGTCTCAGCAACAACGGTTAGGTGTGTTCCTTTTCCCAAAGATCTGACAAATTGTTTTTTCCTATAAGACAATAAGCGCAGGAGAGAACAAAAAGCAAAACTCATCAGCGCAGGTAGAAATACTTTCTTTTTAAAAAAAAACAACCAAAAAATCATTTCTTGCATATATATAAACATGTCATCTTTAAAATGAGTTTCTGAGGGCACCACAGTTGATGAAGAATGGTAGCTTGATGAGTACTGTTAAACTGATGCACTTGTAAATGAGAGGGATTGGACCATTGCAATGTTTTTTTGAATTTGATTTGAACTTTGTGGGACAGAAACGGAGAGCTGGAATATCACAAATGTACCGAAATATCATTGAAATTTAAAACTTCCCTCTAAGGTTCCGATAGACAAGGGAGCTTAGGTCATGATGAAAACAAGATGGAAAACATTAAAAATAGCAATACATTCAAATTCCAACAAAGCAACTGACCAGACAGGGATTTTTGTCCACATTATTTTTATTGCTTTAGCAGAGTGTGTGGTATTTAGCTATTATTTTAGTAATTTTTATGTTCATATAAGTTAAACATAATTCTACTGCTTATGCTCTGCTGAGACCAAGTTTTTTTTTAAGCATGAACTTAGGCAAATACCAGCCAAGTACAGGTTAAGAGGGAATAAATTACAGTTCCTTACGTTTTACTGAAACTTTGTACAACTAACAGGCAGGTCATGCAGGATTTGCACATCTCTCCTCTGACTCCGTAAGCATGTAGAGAATCAAACTTTCTTCCAATTGTATTTCTTGGATGTGCTTACTCTCATTTCCTATTTGTGGATTCATATCTAACAATTAGGGCCTCAGCGGATATATATTTTAGTATTTTACAAAAGGTTTTTGAAGGTAACTTCATCAACTACCACATTCCTGTTTAAAGTGGAATACAGCTGTATGCTGGATTCTTTAAAAGATGCATATGATTAAAAGTGACCATGATTTTTTTTCTACAGAAACAAAGAAAAACATTTCAATTTGTTTATATCTGTGCTAAACTTGACCTATTTATAACTATAAAACATTGAACAAATGTTAGTATTGTTTGCCATGTCCCTAATTCTTTTGTGTTTACTAAATATTTTTTTAATATATTTCTAACCTTGTAAGGGTTTTTTTATTTGTGTAGAGTCATGTAAGATGAAAAGCTTCCAGGCAGAAATACTACATACTTGATTTGAAAATGTGTAATACAGTATAGCTATATATCAAAAGTGATCCAACATCTCCCCAGTGCCTTTACACAGAATAAAACCAACAATGAATCACAAATTATTTCTTCCTTATAAACACCAGAAAAAATATTTTTATGTCTTGGAATACTATCGTTCCTCCTAAAGAAGTTTCCATTTCTTAAGCCAGATAGCTTAGTAATTGTCACGTCAAACAGCACAGTTCAAAACTCTTTTACTAGTGAGATGTTACAAAGAAATAAAAGAACCTACTTGTGTTGAGAAGTAACAGTGCTTTCATACATAGGAACTCTTCTTGGCTAACTTGAAGTCTGACAAATTCCTGTGGGAGCTGCCACATGGATAGACACAGGGAATAGAACGATGATTCTTTCATCCTCTGTCTTACACCCAGAAAAGGTAAAAAAAAAACAAAACAAAAAACCCCATGAAAATAAAGACAAGGAACGGCTCCGGTACTAATTGCTTGAAGGAAGTGCCTTGTTAGCAATTTAATTACCACATTGCAGAAATTAAAGAAAAAGGTTATACACATAAACAATTTTCTGACTTTTTTGTACCTACACTATTTTTTTAATTGCAATGAATGTGCTATTATTTTGGATGTTTAACCTGTTACTGCTGCCCAGAAAAAAAAACAACTGGAGACTATCAAAGCTGACTGCTAACCACCAAAAAGAAGGGGGTTTATGAATTAAAACCATCCTAATAATTAATGTGAAGTACTTTCTTTTTCTTTTAGAGGTTGATTGATTTTTACATTCTCTGAAAAGATTTCAAAGCATAAAATTGCAGATAAACCCGAAAGTTTACAGAAAACTTTTCTTAGGTCTGCATGAAAAATGTCTGCATCAAAAAAAATGTCTGCATCAAAATACTTTGTTGCAAGTCTGACCTTGTACTACTAACAGCGATGATATAACTTCGTAGCATTTTATGCCATTAAAGAACAGTTAAAAATATTAAATGTAAACACATACAAAAAGTTTTTAGGTAAACTTAAGACCTTAATACAGCCTCCTGCAGAATAGGACAGATCACATAAGGAAATACATAAAACTATTTCGTTTTTTGCAGCACTTTAACCTTACTTTTCTCTTTGAGATTTTGGCACAGTGAGTATTTTTTATTGTACGTATCTGTTGGGAAAGCAGTTTTCAACTGAAATTACTGCAACAATAGCATTTCAAACTTTGTAAACTAAACTGAATTCACTGCACATTAACCTGAAGAGTGAGTAACATGGGCTAATTTTACAAAGCTGTATCCCAATCCAGATGAATTAGGTACAACAAAAAAGATTAAATTTTGCTTGTCCCCTTTACAACGTTCAGATCAGCATTCCAACCTGACTGCAGATAGTACCATCAACAATGAAAACAGAAGATATTTTCTGTGAATAAAAGACTTCTCTCAATGCACTGAGGTTTTTTTCTTCTCATTTAAAGTGTTACTTGTTATCTTAAAAGAAAATTATTTCAGCTTTGTTCAACATCTCGTATCTTGCACCAGCTCTTAAATGACTTAAACCTATAAATTCAATCTTTTAAATCTGAAAGGACTGGTTACTTCTATAGCTACTTTAAATCTCCCTTCCTATTCCTTTCTGGTAGTCTCTATTTCTAAGTGGTAACTATGAAGGGTGACAGCAGCTTTCAGGATATGCTTATATGCTGTTCTTAGTCATGTTTTCAGATACTGCAAAGTATAAGTAACAGTAAATCCTTGTAGGGTTTTAATACTAAATCATGAAATCATTGTCAAATTAACACTTCTGGCTTTATTGGTGTGAACCTGATGCTACCAAATAAGTCATTCCCAAGGAGCACTACAACTCAGTTCACTAAATGACAGATGGGCTGTGAAACGATCTTTGGATTGTGGTTTCATGGTCATTTTGAAACAACTCAGCTGTGTGTTGCCCCTGTAGAAGGAATTTCCGTTATCTCTTTCCACCTCTAGGTGTACAGTCCTGCTATTCTGGCATCAGTGCCTGCATGTCCACACGGTGAGTCAGACCAGGGATCACCTCCATCTCCTAATTAATGGCTTTTTCTGGGGTATTTCTCAAGCATATAATTTCCTTATCTGTTTGGCAGTGCAGCCAGATAGTGTTTGATCCAGCTTAAATGAAATCATGGGGATGCATGACCAGGGCAGGGAGGCAGGTGGAGTTGACTTTTTTTGGCTGTGTTCAGCACCTACCGTTGCTTAAAGCAATCACAAAAACATAATCTTAGACATCATTGTAGACAAGGAAGTACCTTACATTTTACTGATCTAAAATCTAACTTACTTTCCAATAAATAGTTGCAGCTATGATTTAGTGTGGCAGTTACATTTCACGTCTAATTCTTTGTTTATAGTGTTTCTAACGTGACCCTGATGAGATGTTCTACAACCAAGAGAAGGGTATGTTGTCAGTCCATCGTTTTCTCAATGTAGATGGTCTTGAGGTGCAAACAAGAAGCTGCCTCTGAGGGATAACGATCAGGGTTCATAAATCTCAACCCTATTCTTGAAGAAAGCCTTCTTCACAAGGTGGCAGCAGTGGTTCGCGTACAGGGCATTACCCCAAGACATGACATTACTGCCTAAGGCTATCTCACTCTGTGTTTCTTCTGAATGTAACCATGAGATACATCACAGACTATGCTGGGAGAGAATGCAGTCAGAAGTTCTCTCAATCTCATCCCTTCAAAGTATTTAAGTTTGTACAGCATAATTAATACACATGGGAGAGGAAAGAATTCATTACTCTATAACCTCACAGTGATTTACAGTCATCTGGAAGAGAAAAGGTCAGGAGCTACAGGGCCAGCTCCACAGATTTTTCACAAAGAACTTCACTGGCAAGAACCTGCATGTCTATAGATTTTAAATTCAGGTGCCTAGATCTTCTGCAAATCTACCTCTTAATCCTTAAACAGATATGTCTTACAGGAAAACCTGTTTAACTTTCATCTCACTTCATAGTAGTTCTTTTAGGATTTTGAAAAAAATAACTAAGAAAAATGTATTAAGGAAAAATAAATAAGGTGATTAAATTATATTTTACTGTTCCTGGAAACTTCCCATGTATTATAACCAAAGTATCTAAAATTACAGCTTTGATAATATTAATTTGCAGGGCTGAAAAGCTGACAAAGACTGAAAAGATTATCTGAGTTCATCAGCAGAGTGAAGGAAAATCTAAGGCAATAATTCTCCCTCCAACAAGAAAAGAGACGTTTTATCCTTGATATTAAAATCCCCTCGTTAAATTATTACAATTTTCTAACAATAAATGTGCTTCAGAAGAGCAGAATTTTATCAGAAAGTGTCAAAACTGAGTATTCTAGACTATACACAAACTATTTGCAAAAACCACCCAAACAATGACCAAAGAAAATCCTACTTAGTTTTTACTAAACATGAACTCGTGTCTTATTCAGATGTATTCACCTAAATATTCTCACAGCATCATTCTTTTTTTTAATTATTATTATTTATTTTTCTCTTAGGTAATTAAAATGTCATTTGAACTCATTTTGTTTGGCCACGTCAACAGAATATTTGGGATTCCCATAAAACCCTTCCCAAAGTTACTGAACCTTAATATAATCAGAAGACTTTCCTCTGGTGTTAATTTTGAAACAGAGCAAGTAATGAATGAAATCTTGGCCTCAATGAAGTCACATTTGCATTGACACAAATAAAATCAAAATGTCATTCATATTATGCAACAGCAGAGTCTACTTACTCATTTAGAATCAGATCTGGTGCAAAATATAACATCTGACCACTGACATGTTTGTACGATCTCCATCCCATTGCAAAAACCATTAGACTCATCCAGGAATACTGGATGAGGGTTATCTGATCATCAATATGTAAATTCCGAAATCCTGGAAATGAAATTAAAAGTCAAAGTAGTTTATAATTGTCATTTAGATGAGTTGAGTAGGTGTTCTAGATTACAACTTTGAGCTATAAAACTGAGAACCCCTAGAAAGACAAGTACTTTTGGGGATGTAGCTCAGAAGTTGTGAAATTTGTACAGTAACTGGCTATCTCAATTTGATAGTTAACCTCTTGTCTTTTTCTTCTGATCCAATATTTTGAAATGATCAAACCAAAATTAACTTTAGCAGTCAGAAGTGACTATTTCAGGAAGTAGGAGTGCATCTCATTTTCCTTTGGTAAAAATATGACAGTTTGTAACATGATCACTGTAAACAACTCTTATTTAATATAGATAGCTGGGACTTTAGTGTTCTTAACAAAAGATACAGTTGTAATACAATAAACAACCACATATTAATGTATTTCTTGCATTTAAGTAAAGAGAAGAGTATTTAGTTGTGTGTTTGCCTTTGTTAACTTTTGCTCTTTGAAAGATTGCTATGAAGCACCTGAGTCTATTTAACAGTCTCCTGCCACTGAAAGCAGTGGTCCTGTTCTTCATTACCTGGTCCTGTTACCTGTTTCAAGCAAGCTCTGGCATTCATGCCACCCATCACTGAACTGGTTCAGCTCATGAAGCCATCAGAAAGCTACAGAGGGTTAAAAAAAAAAACGGTTGTTTTCTTCTCACTTAATGAGATGAATCAGTTCAACCAAGCGGTCTGACAAGTGCAAGCTGCAATGGGGAAGAGCAGTGATAGGGATGGACAGACTACCCTTTCCTGCGGCAGTGAAGTGTCAAATTGAGCTCCCATGAAACCATATTTCCAGGTTTTCTGGTCAATACATTGATGTTACACATCCCAGGGTCAGGCCCCTGTGACCATACATAACATGGATTTTTTTTTGAACCAGTCTTGGATCTTCATAAATTCATTTACCAGTTTATTGGACTTAGTCCTAACTGGTTCTATTTATGACATATTTTTTTTCTGTTGCTTTCAAAAATTCATTTTAATATGAATAAGAATGAAGAATATGCAGAAATATAAACATTTTTTCAACCCCAAAGAATGAATAATAGAGTAGGAGGGGTTAGGGTGGAAAGGCTGCTCTAATGATCACATGCAGGAAAGCCTCCGGGCTTCTGCTGTTTTTTGGAATGAGTCTTAATATTTAGATGCATTCCTTTAAGTGTGCCCTCCTATTAAATGTATTTGATTGTGCATATATTATCTGATTAAGTGGAAGGTTAATAATTTTAGAAGTTAAGAATTAATTAACAGGTAGACAATAATATTGTCTTTTGACTGCTCGTCCTGAGACATATTTGCTTAACTAGAATTCACTACATATAAGAAGTGCTATTACCTGGTAGCAATTTAGACCACTTGACTACACAAAGAAGTTGCCTCTCACAAAGATGATTTAGACTGGTCAGCAAGGAACTTGGTGTTTCGGGTTTTGTATTGTCATAACCAGCATAGACAACTTCTGGTTCAATGCCTCGTAGAACACTTATCATTGGGGGAACAAACTGTATTTCTTGATTTGGAGAAAAGGACAGCCTTTGGGTTAGAGATTGGCTTTCATCTTGAAGTGTTGCTGGCTGCTGGAGTGCGACATCTAATGTTCTCACAACCTTAATTTTGTTAAACTTTTTAAATTTTCGACCTGAAAAAGAAAATTGTTGATCTGTTAAAAACAATTAAGCAGAAAGAATAATATTTTCCAGTGGTAATGGATTACACATTTAATCAATACAAGGAAGATAGAATCATCTTCTGAATAAGTTTTCTATTTTTGACTATTTATATAATTAAGAAATAATCATGGAAAATTCTTAAGAGTTTCTCCCTCTATATCCTTCCCCCTTCACTAAGAGATGAATGGCACCCACCCATTAAAATTATTGCCATGAATTCTAGGTTACAGTAACCTCATAAAGTGTTTTCTGGTTCAGTTCCCACTGTTCTATCATATGCCGACAGCTGGGCCAGCTGGCTCTATAATCCAGTTTCTATTCAATGTTAATTGAGGATACTGTTTCTTTTTTCTCCATGATATTCAGAAACAAAAATGCTGGTAATTAATTACTACACAGAAAAATTCCTTTCCTCCAGTTCCATAAAGGCATTTCAGTCTCATGGCTAAATTCTGTTTTGATGATCTGTAATGTAATATTTTCCTCCTGTTTACCAAAAAGAAAACAGAATTCATGGGATGAGTGAAAAGCCAACAAATACTGTAAAACCACATGTCAGCACTGACAAAACTCTTCACTTTCTAGGGAACAATTTCTCTTTCTCAGTATTTGCAATTCTTATTTCCATACGGCAGTGCTTTGAAGAACACAAACTTACAAAAAAAAAAAAAATAGTTGAACTGCCTTCCCAAAATAAGCCCAGATACTACATCTGGTACAGCAAACATACAGAGTTCTACATAGCAACTCTTCAAATTTCTTCCATGGGAACAGTCTACAGGTACACCTTATAGACAAAGAAATCAAACTTTCAAAGGCTGAAAGACAAAAACCCTCAGTAACATCTTAACCATATTGCACATTTCAATAAAAAGGCAAATTCATGTAGAGGTGCCTGCATGGAACACACCCACTACAAGGAGACCCTCAAAGGTGATGAAAACCCTGTTGGATCATTAAATTCCTCAGTTCTGCCAAAACAAGTTTTGCTTGGTTAAAAGAGAGTGTCATAACAAACAAAAAAATACAATAAAGATACTGGTATTTATGGTCTGATTTAGATGACAGTGGAACAGTAAAAGAGATGCAGTGTGACTGCAAACAAAGGGTAAATCATCCTGCCAATGAAGAAAAATAAAAAGTTTACATGTTTCAACCGTAAAGAAAACAGTAAGGAGAAGGTTCTGCTCCAAGAAATGCAGAAATCACATATTTTTACTTGCTGAGGTGTTGCATGCTTGAACAACAACAGAAAAAGATATGCACCAAATTTCACCGGGTGAAAAGAAAAACCATGCTTATCAAATTGCTGAACCACTGAGAAACTGCATTATAAAATGGCATTATGCAAAAACCACTCTGTAAGTACAAGAAGTGAAAGGTAACAGAAGCATAACAGTATGCATCAATTAGGTTGAATTAAAATCCAGTTTATAATGTGTATCACATTGCCTTTTTTAAAACAGTACTTCTATTTCCAAGTGAAAGATTAGACAAGGGAACTTATTGCATCCTAAAGGAAGGAGACAAATACTTCTCCATTTCTTACTGCCTTCTTTTTATTTTAGTTAAAAGTAGTGCTGTGCTGTCAGAATGCACCAAAGAGGCCCTAGGACACCGGAGCAGGGAAGCACACCTAAACTTCAGCACATGCTCTGAATTCTTTCTCCCCTGTTTATAGAACGAATCGAGAGATGCTAGCATACTCAGACTCATCTATTACTTTCCTCCTTGGAAAGTCCCTATTTTCCAATCTACACACGAAAGCAGAAAGATTCAACAAAAATGGCTTTACTTAGGAACAGGCCTATTCCATTTTCTTCAGGTGCTCCTTTATCATAGAAGATAGCAAGTTTTATGAACATCCAGCGTCTCCATTTCAGAAGATGTAGGATGTACACTTTAGAGAACGACATTAACCTTTTCAAAACATTCATTAGTACATGGGTAGTATAACTTCAAGCAAACATGGAAGGATTTCTAATGTTATTTCTAAATATTTTATACAGAACAAATTCTATTACTTAAATAAACTATTCTTGATGAACACTGGCATAACCAGACAGGATTAAGCAGATGAACACCATCTAAAAATCCAATATCTGCTTTTTAAAAAAGATAATTTTGTGTTATTCCACCATAAATATGCATGTTTATGAATTTCACATTAAAAAAAAACCCTGTACACAAAAGTGCAAAACTTCAGTTTAAATTTTAAAAGTATGTAAAATCCAAAAGGAATATACTAAACAAAATTTCAAGAAACAGTTTATTGAAAGTATAAATATGAGTGATGGGCTCTTCAGTAACACTCATCATCCAATGAAATCAGGGGTCATATTCCCACTAACTTAACTGTGAGTTTAATTAGCTTAGTATCAAATGCCCCAACAATCTTATGCTTATTTTATCCCTTGTGGTAAGAATACAAATATTTCTAATTAGTGACTCCTTAGTAAAGAACGGAACACAAACTTATACCTTATGTCACAGCTGAACCAAAAATAAAACCTCAAAAGAATAGACAATATATTATAAGAGACCTAGGGCCAATTTCTATCATAACAAAACTATACATAGTCCTAAACACGCTGGGAATTTCCCACTAACTATTGTTTAGGCATGAAGGAAAACAGAAGGAACAATGCATTTGATAGTTCATAAATAATGATTTCAGGTATTTTCTGAAATAATGGCTTCAGATACTTTTACAGTTCAGAGAACAAGTAAAGAAAGAAACCAAACAGAGTGCTTATCACATGGAAATGTTAGTAGTTAATAAGTACCCATGTTTCTAAGTGATTAAATGTATCAGAATTAATGTCACATTGGCTTGCAGAATTGCTTATGTGTTTATTTCTAATTATGTTGCTTAACAGCCTCCAGTAAAGCAACTCCACTTGTTACCTATGTACTGGAAAGGTGACTACTAATATCTCACAGTAAACTTTCCCATCTAACACAAGGAAACCTTGTCAAACCAATGCAAACTCTTAAGGATATATGGAAAACAACAGAGATGCGACAATAGCTTAGTCCTTCAATTGCTGCTTACAAAAATATACCGATAATTTCCTGCTGTAAGATAAACAAATGTCTCCACTTAGTCCTATAATGTGTAAAGGATACTAATCCACTCTGGCAACTATTCATCTTAATATCAAAACCTGTCTGTGCATATTAGACAGCACACCTTTTCTTTGTAAGATTTTCATTAATTTGTTTTAAAATAGCCAACCACTCAAGCAGTTTCTTAGTACTCACAATTTCTTTACCCTTGATTACACAAATAGCATGTGTATAGTGTGTACACTACGTGCACCTAGAAAACATAAAGAAACTAAAAAAATAAAATGTACTTAATCATCAAATATAAGACGATTTTCTCCTTAATACATAATTCTGTATTTTAATATTCTTTTAACTAGGTATACAGAACCATACTGCCAAGCAGACATTACTGATAGTAGACATTTCATATTAAAATGGTTGGGTTTCTAGTAAAAGTCTAACATCTCACTACCCTACTCCATACCCTGTAATCAGGTGAAAAATGTCAATGATTTATTATTCTTGACAGAACACTATGGCTCTGACTTTAAGGTCACTATGCTCTTATGTTTTGTGTAGAAGAACAAGCTGTGTACACCTTAGGAGGGTGTATACAAAATAAAGGAACAAAGCAGCAAAGCAGAGGTAATACATCTTGATTTTAATAAACCCTTTGATGCTACCTCAGAAAACATTACCTGCAAAATTAATTCAAATTTGTCTCCGTGTAATCATTGCAATGTGGACTGTAGGCTGACTGAAACAATGAAGAAAACGATAATTTAGCAATAAAGTAGAAGAAGGAATCTGTGATAGTCCGCCTGGGAAAAATTAGATAGACAGAAAATAAAAAAGCTGGACATTTCTTTATTCCAGGACCTGATGCAGCTACCCGCTGTCCCATTAGGTAGAAGATTAGAAAGGGCAGAGATTAACATGTCCAGTTATGAGATGATAAAACTCAAAGACAACTAACACTCCCACAGAGAATGATAATTAAGGAATTAGGAAATATATGTTTTGATTAATACTTTCTTTGTATATATTAAGAAAGAAGAAACAGTCCATATAGAGAAATCAGTTACTAAAGCTATTTGTTGTTATCCTATCCTACTTACAGCTGACTACAATTTATTTTAAAACAATTCAGGTTCATTTAATTGCTCTGAAATTAGGGTCAGAAAATGGAACCGTTGTCGATGTAATATAATATTATTCTCTATCTCTGTGGTTGCCACTCAGTAACATTCAGTAGAAGATAAGTGTACTTCTCCCAGCAGTAAGTTTAATTTAATTACTGCAATAATAATCGTTAGAATCTTATAGTTAACATCCTGTAAAATCTTAGTCTTTCTCACCTTGATTAAGCAATACCGGAGGTCTGTGTTTAGTAACTGAAGGCTAGCATTAAGAAACTAAGTAGCAGGAGTAAAAGAACAAAAGTGTATCTATGTAAGTTCTGAATAGCATAAACCAGAAAACACAGAAAAAATCTTAAACTATAATAGGCTGTAAACACAGGAAAAGATTTAAAGTATTGACAATTCTGATTTGTCAAAAATATTCAAGGATGTATCTAAGTATGTACTTTGTTCCATGAATTGGAAATTTGCTTATGGACACTTAGGTCCTGGGGAAAAATATCCAAGCTCAGTAGTATCCCATCTATGAATCATACTGTGTTATCAGCACAGCAAGTGATGGGTAGGAAATATTGCTCATGTGATACAATGAAGGAAGTACAAGAAATGGCAGAAGAGCAAAAGTAAGAAAGATGACAGTAACAGTAGAAAGAGCATTATGGGTAAACATTCTATCTTGAGTCTTTTTGTTGTTCTGAATTTTAAATCCTCATTTACAAGTAATACAATCTCACTCTAGTTTTCCTCTTTTTTTTTTTTTTGCCCACATTTGTCTTTTCTTCCCCTTTCAGTATTAAGTGTTCCACTTCAATCTGTATAGAATAATTAGCTTCCTAATCCCCCCAGAACTGTTGACTACTAAGAGCACCTGAAATACTACACTCAACCTGGTGTAAATAAGAACAAAATAGATATGCCACAGTCCTGGCTCCATTTGAGATGTCCTTTTTTCCACTGCCTTAACAGTTTCTTCTTCTTCCTATTTCCTGCCAGATCAACTCTTTCTAGAAGACAGGGTACGTGGGATATCAGGGCAGAGATCTGATGAGATTCCATGCCCCTCTGAGAACTAGAGGAACAAGACTGGCACAGTGTCCTCAAAAAATGGAAGACAGCTTTGATTAGGTATGTTTAGAAAAGGGCTAAACAACACAACAAACTGACTAGATAGAACAACCTAGGTTTAAATACAAACTTGCTTAGTACTAGCTGAGAAAAAAGGTGATCCAAAGAGAAAGAGGAAATTTTTACTCTCTTCATACATGATGGTAAAGAACTAAGAGTCAGAGCATCCTCAGGTTTTGGTTTCAAGTATGAATACATAACATCCTCATGTGAGGACACACTAATGAGGACATACCATCTCATAAAGATTGCCAGCAAAAACATCCAAATTTTTCCATTTTAGGTACCTACACCTAGAGCAAAATGTATATATTAAAAAACAGTAGGGAAACTAGCATCCATAAATGTATGCAAAATGTAGAATGAAGTCAAGCCTTCTGGCTACTTTTCCTATGTAGAATTACTACGCAAAACAAAGCAAAAGGACTACATGATGCTAGCGAGTCATCACACGCTCTTCTGCTTGTTGAAAGAGTACTGCTTGTGATGTTAAAATACTTGGGGTTTAGTTATTGGTGTTATGCAGACTATCATACATGAAAATTCAGGTTAGATCATCATAAAACTCTTGACTGTGCACAACTCACAGCAAGGAATGAATTCTTACCTGTATAAATTTACATCAGTTAGAATCATAGAATGGTTTGGGTTGGAAGGGACCTTTAAAGATCATCTAGTCCGCTCCCCCTGCCATGGGCAGGCACATCTTTCATAGATCAAGTTGCTCAAACCTTACAAGACAACCTTACAAGTTGTCCCAAACTTTATAAGACAGACATTATATCTGCCACCTCCTCCTTTCCCAAGACTCCATTCTTACCACACATTTTCCACAGCCCACTCTGGACCCCTGGACCTCCTTGGCTTTCTCCCCTTCCAAACGTGGGGGACTCTTCTGTCACCTGGGCAACAATCCTTCAGGTTCAGGGTGAAAATTCTGCCTTTGCAGTAATACTGTCTCTCTAATGCACTCCTATCCCAGCTCTAAATCACCACTTCTCTCTGAGAAGGATCCAAAGGACACATTCTCTTGTTTTTGTCCCTCTTCGCCCAGTCCAGTGCCACCAACATCTTTGTCAGCTCCATTTTTTTCTTTACTGAGAGACAGTGCAGGAAGGAGGAAGAGACAGTAAAGCAAATTAGATTGATGGCTCTCATTACTCTGGCTCCAGTGCTGTGGGGTGAGAGGGATGCAGTTTGGAGAAGATGACTCACGGGACAGGCAGCACTGAAGGTCTAGGGAGGTTCAGGGGTACAACACAGAACACAGCCCATACCGCAGCATTGCCTCTCCCTCCGCTCATCCCACTGGCTGTTCCCTGGAGCTGCAGCACTGTCACTTACGGAAGATGAAGTACCAAGAGCCAGCAAAGCTCCTCACTGGTTGGGAACTACTGATTTGTATCACTGATTGAAGCACGAAATGTAAGAATGACACATGTGCAGAATACTCCAACTCCATACAATATTACAGGAGCTGAAAGCATACAGCTGTGCAATCAAAATGTCGCTCTGAGAACTACATACACGTTTTAATTTATGAACGAACACAGATTAGCAAGATAACAAAATTACGCACAGGATATAATGCCAGTTCTTCCTTCATGGATAAAAACCAACACATAAAATGCAGGGACAGAGAGAGATGTTTGATGCACTAAAATAAATTATATTAGAAAGAAATCAGTTTTTTGTCCTTCCATTTTTTTAATTCCCTTTGAGAACATATTCTTTCTGTCATCTTTATATAGCCATTTTTTTTTACAGTCTTAGCTATGTATTTTCAACCTTTGTGCTGATCCACAGCTTTATATAGCTAAAGTTCTCATGAAAAATATGAAAAAATGCAGGAAAAATACACATCATTCCTGCATGTTAGCAGGGTGAAACTTGCCATGACTACCTGATCCTACACCATTTTCTCCCTGCAGGTTTTCAAAGGCATAGTGCTCAATTTTAATTAATGTTACATAAGAAAAAAGCACACCTGTTACAGCAAGAACTAATACAAAGATGGGAATTCGCAGCATCTACTATGCAAAGTCTGTAGTGTTGGTGCAACCACTGCCTGGCCCTCTTCGGTGGAACACAAGGTTGTAATTTTGTTAATGTGTACTCAGAGCAATGATGAAGAGCACATCAGAAAACAGAAAGGGATAGTACCGATTCCTGATTTTAGTGTCAATCTCAATTTGCTTCTTTATTTTTTACCCAAATCACATTTTCTGATCCAAAATTATTAGTAAATACACACCAAAGACACAATTACTGCCCTTGCAAGAAAATGAGTATAAGGGTACACAATAGGAGAGAGAGATTCCTACAGGAAGGTATTTTTGTTTCAGGATTTCCAGACTCAACAGAGGAAAATTACGAGGAATTTTAAAACATCAGGTAATTCTTAAAAAAAAAAAATAATAATGTGGTTCTTTCCTTTACAGTATCAAAGCAATGCTGTTTAAACTAGATAAGTTAAAGGTAAGGTCCTTGACTGACTATTTTTCTGAATCAGATTTGAAAAGCAGCTCACCTCCCAGGACCATACCAGCTTGACAGCACTTCCTCAAGCGACACGCTGGACAGTTCTTCCTACGAATTTTATCCACTATGCAGTCATTTCTTCCAGCACACAAATAGTTGTGCTGCCCTGTCGGCAAGAGAAAAACAGGATTAATACTATGTTTTCTAACATGACAAAATTATTTCTGTGTATAAATGTTCCAAAAATAACGGAGGATTCCAAGAAAGTATATTTGAACCATTAAACATCTCCTTCATTTTATGCTAACTTTTGAACAATCATGTGTTACTATTTAAATATAACAATTTTTTGGCCTGTTAAAGAGTGCCACTCCCCGTCTACAAAATTCCAAAATAATAAGCAGACAGTAAGAACTGCTTAAATTATTGTACTATCAATATTTCTTAAGCAAACCAAGCATGAGGAGAGACTGATTTGTTTCTTTCAAACTTCTTTTTTTAAAAGTTATTGTTCCTGATTTTAAAGAACTTAAGTAAATTTTGCTTGGATTGACGTGGAGTTTCTGAGACGAAACTGAATGAAAAATTGGGAGCAATGTGAAAAAGAGCCCTTTAAGCAGAGTGAATTACCTCTGACAGAGAAGCAGTTTTGGACTAGACCTGCTGAAATACTGGCTGAACAGATGCAGCCAACACAGCCAGAAAGGAAAAATAGAAGAAAAGCTGTAATGTTTTGGTTTAGGTTAGCTCTTAGCTTATTATTTCATTCTTAAGGACTCAGTAAGAGCCTGTCATTACTGTATTAAAATGGAATCTTTTTAAAGAAATGAGTTTCCAGCAGAACAAAAAATTAAATTCAGCTAATATCCTGACATTCTTTTGAACACAAACTTCAATGATACTTACAAATTTCACTTGCAGAGAATGAAAAAAGCATGCTTTAGTATAATGTTGATAATTTCTATGATTGATTTTAACTTTGAATAAGTAAACAAAACTAAGTACATATGTAAGAAGAAATCAAAGCTAATTTTCACATATCCTTTCAAATTAAGCCCAGGTTTACCCCATAAGGTTTAACTTTAAAATCCTGCCCATTTGTGCACAATCACCCTCTACTCATTTTTGTATTTCCAGTTTCTTATCAGTACATAGCATGAAAGCATGAAAACAAAACACTAAGTATTTATTTTGAGAGCAACAAAACGGATCAAAAAAGCATGGACAGACTGCAGAAGTACCAATATCATAGATAATTCCTTCATGGAATATTGTGGATGTAGACCTCCAAATATAAGATATCAATACCAAACGTTTTAAATTTTCACCAATTTCTAGACCAGTATTACTCTGAGTTAGCTATCTGATGCAGCAAACAAATCGAGATGACTATTCTACTCAGATGCTGTTGTTCAGCTTTCTTTATAACTCTGTCCTTTCTCTGCACATGGTAAAATGAGCAACTATTCACCAATAACTTTTCTCCAAAGAAGAAAGACAAACTGAAAATGAATTCTCAGATGAAAATGCATTAGAAAGAAGAACATTCCATTCTAACAAAAGAAAAGAGCTAGTGCTAAGCCATGTGAAACAATGTATTCGTTTCTGAGCTAACTTTTTTTTTTTATAATTAGTTTACTTCTTACCCATACTTCTAAGAACAACACGTTTGGTTTTAGTGAAAGAAACCCGACTGCCTGAAATTAATTTTCGTAACAGCTTCTTTTTTTTAAGTAAACAACGGGTAAATAAAGAGAGTTGCCTCAGGCATTGCCTGGCATCTAAAAAGTATTTAGTAATGCAGTAAATCAGAAAAAATTCTCATTTACTTTTTCCCATTAATTATAATTCTGGATTCCTTCTTACAGGAAACATTACCAAAAGTAACTGAATGAATAAAAATCTGTCTTGCTTTTGGCAGTAGACCAGGAAGCAAAACACTTATTTTGAACCCAACTTCCTTGGGATTATTTACAGTTTGTCCTCGTCTTGCTTTGCCTTTATTAGCTACAAAAGCATTTAGTCTTTTTGATAAGCAACAACAGTCTTAAAACTCTGTTAGTTTAACTAAAATCTATGAAGCACCAGATTATCTCTGCACTGTGGCACTCCGATGCTTTAATGTACAGTTACTTACAAAGGAATGCTTAAGCATAGGTTTTGTTTGTAGGCATCTTGGTTTTGGGGGTTTTCTGTGGCCCCCTGAAAGGTATCTCTTCTGGACCTCTTTTCTAGGGAATCCTTTGAGACACAACATGGTCTGAGCCCACATAACCCATGTCCATTGCAAGATCAAAATATGAACTATGTATTTCCAGAATGGCAGTAAATGCTCACAAGCAGCTCACAATGTTATAGGAATTCAAGTTAAACTTTTCCCCCTACAATGATACGAAAAAATCACAGGTTTTGCTATCAGTACAGCTGCAGAGGTTATACTCCAGCACTGAGAAATTTTAATCCAAATACTTATGGATGTAATATGCAAGTCTCTTTAAAAACTGCACTATTAACTTCGCTCATTGACATGCTGTAAGTCACTTAAAATCACTTGAGTAAACTAATGAGCTGCAGAGATTTTGCAGATGTGCAAAATATGGAAAACATAAGGCTTTATTTGCACCAGGGGTAACAGATGCAAGCAATCAGTTATTTGTGTAAGTGTATCTGTGCTGAACTGCTACCACCCTGCACAAAAGCAAAGCACTTGTTTGCAAACTCTCACTTCCTCCTGTCTAGCAAAGCACTTGTTTGCAAACTCTCACTGCAAAGCAAAGTACTTTTTCAAATCTTTTTTCTCTCCCAAATGTCATTCTGCCTTCCTGTATCACTCCTAACTGTCAATGCTTTCTTACAAAATCATCCTATCCCCACCAATGGAGGGCTGTTCTTTGCAAAACTTATAACAGTGTTTTATTTAGTCTAGTTTTAGATTTCTGTCTAAAACTGCAGATATCTATTGCATCTCTTTGTAAATTATGTTATTGCCAAATGTCTCCCAATGTTGACTTTTTGCTTCGTGAGAGCTAGCCTCCAAGTTTTGCTCAATAATTTACTACCAATATGCTTTACCTCTTATAATATTTTTCAAAAGTACCAATTAAATCAATAGTTTAAAAAAACCCAAAGGAATTAGTCTTTTAACAAAACTAAATTTGGAACTCACTGTCAGGGGTTCCTGTGGAAGCCAATAATAAACATGGTTTCAAAATAAACAAAATGGAAAATAGGTCCACCTGTATATCCATACTAAACATAGTGATGTAGATGTAGTTTTCAAGTAAAACTTTGACTTCTGGAAGCTAAGACAAGGGTAAGGATTACTCTGTACTTTCTCTGACAGTCAAGTTTTCTGCAACTAGGCGAACAGTCTAGCTTAGTTCATCATCAGAAATGCAAGACACAGGTAACTTGACATTTGCTCTGACCTAAATCAACCACTCTTCTATTTATACTGTTTCCATGCGCAAAATGGCAAATGTGGGTTGAATTTGCCTCTCACTATGTGGATTTATGAGCTTTGGTCTTGAAGAACTAAGAATCTATACTACATAGTTTGCAATACTGAAAATACACCCTTCGTGTCCCTGTATGCCATTACAGGCCATTAACATCTCCAGATTCCACACACCTCAAATAATGTTTTTTAATTGTTTAATACCAATTTCATTTTTGTGCTAACATTTTCTCTAAAAACAAAAAAGTCCCTGAAGTGAGACTTAAGACTTTAACCACTTAACAAAAAAAAAAAAATCCACTTTACCATGCATAATCTTTTTATAAAAAGACCAGTAGTTAGTGAAGGACTTACTTTCAATTTCCTTCTTTGCCCATTGAAATAAAATTCTCATTTCCCAACTCTTAATCAGGTGTCTTGACTACTACTCTGTAGTCTATACTGGTATAAAGACCTGCTACTGATGCAAATCTGCTTCGCAGCAAAGAATTTCAGATTCAATGGACCAAGGAGGGCAAAGAGTGGATAGCAGAGTAACTTGCAAATATGTCCCATCCTGGAATCTTCTTCTAGCTGAAATAAGGTGGAGTTCCGTTCTCCATAATAATAGAGCTCAAAGCGAAAACGATAAAGAACGACTGCACCCCAAGTCATTCAACAGCACGGCGATCAGGGCTGCAAGGAGGTAAAGATGTGTTTGACTCCCTTCAGGCATCGGAGACACTGAACATAGCTCTCATGTCCTGGGTGATTGCCTTGCCTTGTCTACATACTCAGTGAAGGGGTTTGTGATTATAACAGCTACTAGTAATTCCTTCATCTTTGTGAAGCTAGTCTTTAATTCTTTTGCTTTAACTACATGTGATGAAAAAAAGGGTTGAGTAAAAACTATTTGTTCAAAAAGAATGTAAAACCATAAAATGTTAATTCCTAAGCCAAACCTAGTATTTTTTAACAGTGTATTTTGCTTTGGTGAACAGATTTACAAGTAATTTTTGATGTAAATCTAATTACAACAAAATTTTGGTATTCTTCCACTTTGTTGTCTATTGGTTTTAAGCATGTAATCCTACAGTCCTCTGTCAGGTTTTTTTGTTAAGTATCCCAAACAAAACCAGTTTCTTTAGAAGGGAAACAGCATTTTCGAACCACCATATATCTTGCACTGCTTTCCTTCTCTTCAACAAACCACTTCCAATGTTTGCAACATTCTTGACTGACTCTTTCCTTCTCTTGTATCCTGATCTCAAAATCTTCCTGCCTTTTCCTGTGAATCCCGCAACACCATCGTCTTTTTCCTTCCAAAATCACTTCTCCAGACAGCAACCTGAGCACCTTGTTTTTATATCTACAAAACAGAACAATTAAATGTAGCTATCCCTGTTTTCATTCACTTCTGCGCAGAGGTAAAAGTTAGAATCCTGTTTTAATCTTTTTAATTTCCCTGTCTGTTCCATCATTTCCAACATTAAAAAAGAACACTAAAAAAACCCAGAAAAACCAAATGAAGCAAAATTAAGTCCTATTTCACAGAAACTATCATGAACTGCAAAATCAGGATTACTGTTTCATACTGATTTTCAGTTGGTTTGCCTAGAGTGTTTACCACCACCACATCTTGAAATGCATAAAGCCCTCTAGTCTAAATATGAGAACTCACAACAGTAAAAATCTTCCACAACTAATACCTTTTAGAAGGAGATGCTGGC